CCGTCCTGGTCAACAGGGCACTGGAGGATCCTGCCGAGTCTCTCCAGTCACGCATCGCAACCGTCTCGAATTCTGATCTTCTGGAGGAGATGCGACGGTAACGACTCTCTGGCTCATGTTCCGCGAAGAAACGCAGCAGGATTCGAGTGGAACCGCGGGGGTTACCAGAAACCGAGCAGTTCTGCGAGGGCGCTCGCCTCAACAATGAAGGCTCTTTGGTGTAAGTTCCGCGAAGGAACGCACCAGGAATCGACAAGAACTGCGGGGGTTTTCGGAAACCTGTCAGACAACTGCCAACAACTGAGCTGATATTATACGCGGGCGAGGATGTCTCAGGAGAAACCGATGCGTTTGCGCTCGGTGCATGAAAAGCGGAAGCGGAGACTGCGGACACCTACAGGAAACCGCCAGACACCGCTCCAGAAGCTGTTCGTTTTTGAATGAGTTTCAAGCGAACGCCGCATTTTTCGGTAGCAGATCATGGGAGCCTTGTTTACCCTCGCAACTTTATCTTTAACATCGATTGGAGTCGATTAGCGTCTGGTAGTGGATGTGATCGGGAGATTTGGCGTCGGTTAGCGTCGATTCGCGTCGATCTAGCGTCGATTAGCGTCGATCTAGCGTCGATTGGCATCGACTCGCAAGAGCCGACAAGATGGTGTGGGAGGCTCCCAGGAGTCGCCACCGAAATTTTTGGCCACATCTTGGGGTCAGTGGATCTTGCTGGATGTCGTCAGGCAGGCAGGGGGCCCACAGCGCCTCTCGGGAGTCCGCAGGCCCCCCGCCTACCAGGCCCGCGCGGGGTCTTTAGGACCTCTTGGGAGTGGTGTGTGCCCGATGGCCGCCGTGGCCGCCGCACGACTGAAGCAGGCCCTCCTCGCAACGGAGCGCGCAGAGCGAAGCGAGAGACGGACGCTCCCCTGCCTGCTGGGGCTGTCCGCGGGAGGCCCCGTAGCCACTCGGAGCCGTCCTGGAGCCGTGCCGGGGGGCCTCCTCGGAAGTCGGCTGTCGAGCCACCTCGGAGGTCATCCTGAGCTCTCTGGGGCCCTCTTGGGGCCGTCTTGGATCATCTTGGACGTTCGCACGACCCGCCGCCCGGGGGAGAGGAGGTACAGGCCTCGGAAAAAGATAGCGAACACTCATGCCACATTCTTCTGTCAACGCCCCTCCTTCCCCCCAATGTTCAGAGTTGGCGGAGGGTCTGACGTGTTCACCTCGACCGCAGTCTCCCCCAGCGCGTGCCAACTTTGAGCTTGGGGGGCAGGGGGGGCGTTTACTGATTTTCTCCCTCTACCGCAGGGGGACTGGAAGAGGAAGTGCTTGAGACCACCCGCGCCCCGAATGGCTGGCTGCCGTGCCCGCCCCTTGCCCTGGGCGGCGGCTCCGTGGGGATCGCACGGGAGGCTGCAACGTGTGGCGCCTCGTGCCCCGAGGCTCGCGAGAGGTGCAACACGTGGCGCATGGTTCCGCGTCGTGTCGGGGTTTGGTTTCTCGTCTTCGTGGTTGCCCCATTATTTTCAGTCCTCTCTTGTGCTCCCATGGGTCTCTTGGGCTGTCTTGGGGCCCTCTTGGGGTGTGAGAGTCTCTGGCGGCCTTTGGGCCTTCTTGGGGCCGTCATGGGCCTCTCTGAGGCCTTCCCGGGTTTGTCCGCAGGCCCTATTGGGCCAGCTTGGGGCTCTCTTGGGGCTTGGGGCCATCTTGGAGGCCTCCAGGGACGTCTGGAGCTGAAGAAAGCCTGACAAGGTGAAGACGCCCACGTCTTTCAAACACATTAGGCAAATCAATGCTGTTGGCCTATCCGGGCTCTGATGGGGGTCCCCCAGTGGCCCTCTTGGGCCGTCTTGGGGGCCTGTTGGGCCGTCTTTGGGCCGTCTTGGCCTGCCTTAGGGCCATTTTGGGCCGTCTTGGAGCTATCTGGCCATCTTGGCAGCCTTGGTTGCCTGTCTCGGCCGTCTTGTAAGCTTAGTAATGCGACATCTTATTCTTATTGTAAGGATTCGTGGCCTCGGGAGCTTGGACACATCGTTTGTTTTTGTGTTTTTGCTGTTTGTTTGTTTGTTTGTTTGTTTGTTTGTTTGTTTGTTTGTTTGTTTGTTTGTTTGTTTGTTTTCTCGTATATATATACATATATATATATAGCACAATCTCATATATATATATATATATATACAAGACTGCAGTGGCGCTTCGCGCCATGCACCCTGGTCCTTGAAGTTTGGCATGTAGGCGGACTAGCAGGAAGGTCAAGCCGACAATTTAGCGACAACTCCTTTTCCGGCATCGCCGCTATAATACTGTTATTCGTAATCTTTCCCCCATGCTTCTTTTTCCTTATTTTCGCCATGCCCCGCGCATTCCCCCCATCCTCCTCAGCTCTTTTTGCGGAGGCTCCTCCTTGGAGAGCCTCTGGGGGCCGCGCAAAAGTTGTTTCAGGCTTTCTTAAGGCCTTCTGGAGGCCTCGTGGGCGTGTTCTGGGGGCCTCCGGGGGCTTCCTCGGGCCACCCTGCCTTCAGCCGCGGTCTCCCTGAACGACCAGGTCACGATGTGGAATGCTTCGGAGGGTGTCTTGGGACCATCTTGGGCCGCCATGGGGCTCTCTGAGGGCCATCTTGGACCCCTGTTGTGCCGTTTTGGAACTCTCTTGGACTGCCTGGAAGCCCGTTCGCATGGTTGTGGGGCGATTTGGGAGCCTCCCAGGCGGCTTCGGACGCCCAGAAGACCGCTGTCTTGGAGCGTCGGGAAGCCGAAAAGAGAAGAACCCCAAAATAAACCAAAAATCAACAAAATAAATGATTTTGGCATCTTGGGGCCTTCTTGGGAGTGCTCTTGGAGGCCTCTTGGGACGTTTCGGGACGGTCTTTGGGGGTATGACGGCTTCTTGGAGGTAGTCGTCGACCGTATTGGGGCTCCCTGGGGTCGTTTCGGGAGCGCGCCACGTCCTGCGAGGCCCGGGGGGCCGCTTCGAGGCCCGTCCGGAGGGTCCCTAAGCTCCAGATCCCGGGAGCCCGGTTTTTTTTTTGGGGGGGGGGACGGGTTTTCCCCCCGCCCGGGCTTGTGAAAATATAGAAAGAGGAATATATAACCAAGGGATCGTGGCCTCGGGAGCGCGGATCCGAGAGGGCGGATGCACGCGGCTGAGCCTGGCGAGAGGGGGGGGGGCCTCGGCATCCTTGGGCAGCCCGGGCATCCTTTGGCAGCCCAGGCAGCCCTTGGCATTCTACCGCGCCCCAACGTGCTGGGGGTGCAGTGGCACGATCCACCCAGCGTATGGTACAGTAGGCACGATCCACCCAGCTCGGTCCGTTCTCGTGGGCGCTTCGATGGCGCCACTGTCGCTGGCGTCATCGATCGGCTTGTCGTCTATGAACACATGCCTCTTTCTTCTCGCTGGTGCTCTCCCAGTGTATTCTGCGCTGTGTCTGCGTGCCTGTGTGCATGCAGCATGCACGCATGCCCGTGTGCTTATGATTGTGTGCGTGTGCCATGTGATGTGATGTGTTGCAGTGCAGCATCGGTTTAAGCAGTATTTGATGCAGCGCAACGCGCCCGTGCGTGCACGTGCGCTGATACGTCCCTGCAGCCCTTGCATTGTTGCGTTGCGCCCTGGTCAGATATACGACTTCTCCGAGTGGGGAAAGATCCACCCAGGCGGCCCAGACCCCTCCTTATCTTCCTCCCTCTCCACTCCTCCTCCTCCTCCTCCTCCTCCTCCTCCTCCTCCTCCTCCTCCTCCTCCTCCTCCTCCTCCTCCTCCCTCCCCCTCCCCCTCCCCCACCCCCCATCCACCACCTCCTCCTCCTCCTCCCCTCTTCTCCTCCTCCTCCTCCCCCCTCCTCCTCCTCCTCCTCCTCCTCCTCCTCCTCCCCTCTCCTCCTCCTCCTCCTCCTCCTCCTCCTCTCCTCCTCCTCCTCCTCCTCCTCCTCCTCCTCCTCCTCCCCTCCCCCTCATCCACCACCCCCCCCTCCTCCTCCTGAATCCGCGACCCCGGCACCTGTCCATCTTTGGGACAGGTGTCCGCCGGGGCCAGGCGTACCAGCCGACCGTCCAGAACGCGCCGCAGAGGGCACGTGCCCATCCGGCTGTGACCTTTCTCAGTGCACAAGTGGAGGGCGACAGTCCACCGGGGCACGGGCGACCAGGGCACCTCTCCAAACATGCAACGGGAGGGGGGGAGAGTGCAGGGAGGAGAGAGCAGGAGGGAACCGGAAGGCGGAAGAGATGGGAGCGGCGCCGCTGTGGGGTGTGAGCCACTCGGCCCCAACGTTGGGCGCGCGCGCGCCCCCGCCCGAGGCAGGGACCGGGAGAGGCGAGGGGAAGGAGGGGACGGAGCGGGAGCTGAGAGGTGCGCAGCAAGCTCAAGGTAGCCAATGCGTCCGCGTTGGAGGGAAGGCGCAAGAGAGCGGGATGAGGAAAGAGGGGGAGGAGCAGGGAGGTGGAGGAGGAGGAGGAGGAGGAGGAGGAGGAGGAGGAGGAGGAGGAGGAGGAGGACCTTTTGAGCCCGAAGCGGCGGCGAATCGAGCCGACTCTGCTGTCATCGAAAGCTCCGCATGCGGCGTCTGCAGCAGCGCGGGGAGCGGCTGCCAGGCGGAGCCCTGGTCCCGAGATCGCTCCTCAGGATCTTTCAGCGCGCACGCGCGGAGGAGGGCGACGGCGCCCTCGCCAGGTTGATTGAGAGCCTCCAGGGTTCAGTCGGGCATGTCCCTCTACAGGAGGACTGTTCAAGAATGGTAAAGAATAGTCAGGGGACGATTCTTCGTGCTCCCGTGACTATGCTTGATTATTTGTTGATCATTTTTTAACACGTTTTTCTTTCGCAATCCGCCTGTGGGAGGACATGCCGGACCTGACTCCAAGGCAACCTCCTTCCCCTCCCCCTCCCCCGTCCCCCCTCTCTCCAGACGTGCGCATCAGGAGGGGGCGCGTCGAGCGTCCTGGGGGAAGGGCACCGGCACGGACGATGCTCCTGGGCACAGCAGGACCTTCGGCTCTCCAGGCCTGCGCGTCGCCCGGGGGCCCTCTCGCGCTTCCCCGAAGCTTGAATCAGGAGCGATCTCCAGCCATAAGGCTTCGCACAGCAACACTGGAGCTCTTGGCTGTCCGCGTTCCCGTCTGCTGCGCCAGACTATCCTCACGAGTATCCCTTGCTCAGGTGCTTCCCTGCGGCGCTGCCGATTCTTCGGGCTTGGTGTATGCCCGCCAGCCCATCCAGAAACGATCTTCAGGCGAGTCGCCCTGATCAGGGAAGTGCAGGATCATCCAGTGGACCAGACAGGCGAATCAGCTTTCGAAGCCAAGCTCGAAGTCAGCCTGAGCAGACCCAGGAGCGGAATTTCTGATCCTGCCGTGGATGAAGGAGGGCGATGATGAGGAAAAGGAGGATGATGAGGAGGATGATGACGATGATGATGATGATGATGATGATGATGATGATGATGATGATGATGATGATGATGATGATGATGATGATGATGATGATGATGATGGTGATGGTGATGATGATGATGATGATGATGATGAGGAGGATGAGGAGGAGGTTGCGGAGGAGTCAGTTGAGAAGGAGAAATGTGAGGAGGGGGGAGGATGAAGAGAGGGATGGTGGGCCCATGGGGGGAGGAGGAACGGGGGGGTGGGGGAGGAACATGATCAGTAGAAGGAGAATCGATGAGGAAGGGGGCGACGAGGACGACATTAATCATCACCCACCAAGCCATTCACCCACCACCCGAAGGCCTCAATTTGCCCTCCATTTCCAGTGGTGGGGTGTCTGGGAACATTGAAAAAGCCCATGGAACCCGTACCCCCCCAACCCGAAATTCGGGTCAAATTCGGGTCTTCGGGGTTGGGGTGGTCTTAGTAGGTAGTCGATTAATAACGAGGGTGAGGAGGAGGAGGACGATGACGACGACGACGACGAGTCAGCCATGGAAGACCTATGCGGGTCCTTCGCTTCTTTTGAACGCCTCTCGGGGCCATTTTGGGGCCCTCTTGGAGTGGGAATCTTCGGGGTTCTCTAACAAGGGTGGGCCCCAATGAGCGTCGCCCCTTGGGCTCGAATAGTGGCTCTTTGAGCACTTCTTGGGACGCTCTCTTGGCGCTCTTGGGCGCTCTCTTGGAGCCGTCTTTCAAAGGAACCTGAATCCACTCCACTCTGTGTCTGCGGCACAGTGGCGGACATGCTGCTGATTGTCCTCCTGTCTAACCTCTTCTCCCTGCTCCTCCATCTCCGTGTCTCCTTACTCCTCATCTCTCTCCCTCTCTCCCTCTCTCCCTGTGTCTCTCCAGCTATCCCTCCTCTCTGCTCCTTGGTAGCCATTCTGGCCAAAGAAGCAGGGGCGCTCGTCAGACCTCCAGAGGAAGCCCGTGGCGCGCAGACGGGTGTGGAGCGAGGGTGCCGGCCGTCTGAGAAGTCGCTTGCTTCTCAGACGCCCTTCTGCCTTCTACGAGAGGACTTCTTAGTTGCCTCTTGTCCCCTCTGAGGCTCCCATCCTTCTTCGAAGGCCGCCCCCCCCTGCCATCTGAACGACGTACAACAAATGTGTCGACAGCGCTGACTTTCGCGCGCAGGCTCCCCGCGAAAGCATCGCGCGCAAGCGCCATCTTTCCTGCGCGGTGTGCTGTGCTGGCGAATCTCGCAAGCGGCCGCAGAAGTTCGCCGTGCCACTGTGCGTAAGTTCTTCCTCCTCCTCTTGCTGCTCATCTGCGCGCCGCGGAGCATCGGAGTGGGAGCAGCTTCACCTCGCGCATCTCAGGGCAATGGCGCTCCGTTTTGCCGCCCTCTGGCTGTCCCTCGCCGCGGCCCGCGCGGGCGACCCGGAGACCTGCCCCGCGGGGCGGGTCTGCGCTCCTGGGGAGCAGGACCGGGAGGCCATCGGCGAATTCGTGCGCTCGACCCAGGGACCGACCGAAGCATTGTTCCCCGAGCCTTCTCGTGCCAGAAAGCAGGATCAAAGACGCAATGGAACATCTCGACGACTTCTGGCCTCCAGGGGCCCTCAAGTGGGCCCAAGGATCGTCGAAAGACGGCTCCGGAGGAACAGTCGGTCCCAGGGAAAGGGTCGAGGCCTCGGCAGTCGTGCGGCTGTGGGCTTCCCATAGCTCGGAAGTGGGAAATTTGGAATCATTACATGAAACATTGTTTTCGAAGGGATTCCAGGTTTCCCACAATCCGCAGGCCTTCTGGAGACCTCCGGGGGTCCACGGTGTGAAAAGATCACGATGTCGGAGGACTGGGAAGCGTTGTGTGCGGGGTCTCGCGGGGCAGTTTCTTGGCTCTCGATCTGGTGACTACTTGGCCGCTGACGGTTGCGCCAGAGAGGCGCGCCAGAGCGCTGCCGTGAGGAATCTCCCGAGGTTCTCGCGGCGAAAGCGGCCCTGGAGACCATCGTCGCTTTTTGTTCTGGTCCGCGGCCCTGGAGACGCTCCGAAGCGGTTGCGTGCGGGCACGATTAAAACCATATCCGCTGCGTCCTGGGCTTTGCGGGGAGGGGCGCCAACAGGCCGCGGCGCAGTTGACGCGGACAAGAGTCCGACTTCCAGGGGCGAAATCGTTTTATCCATATCCGCGGCGCCCCTGGTATCTCGGGTGTGGACAGAACCCCCATCCTGACACGTCGATCAGTGAATTGTCCGTTTTCGGTTTTCGAGGGGGCGCCGCGGCCGCCATTTTCCAGGCTCGCGCCCGCCGGGTGTGGGCCCGAGTTCGTTTTTTCACCAAACCGCGTCTTGCTAAAGGTTGTCCTGTCCATCCCCGAGTATCGGAGGAAGGGATCCCGAAACGCCAATGCGCAGCGAGCATGGGCACTCCAGATTTCGTAATAAAAGGGAGGGGGCCTGGCCCCTCCAAGACAAGCCATTTCAGACCCCCCCCCCCGTGGGATAACCCTCCAGAACGTCGTCCCCAGACCCCCCCCAGGCCCTCCAAGATAGCCTGGAAGAGACCCGGAGGAGGGGGAGGAGGAGGAGGAGGAGGAGGAGGAGGAGGAGGAGGAGGAGGAGGAGGAGGAGGAGGAGGACGAGGAGGAGGAGGGAGGAGAGGAGGAGGAGGAGGAGGAGGAGGAGGAGGAGGGAGAGAGAGGAGAGGAGGAGGAGGAGGGAGGAGGAGGAGGAGGAGGAGGAGGAGGAAGGGATCTCGAAACGCCAAGACGCAGCGAACATGAGTACACAAATCACTGCGGGCCCGGGCTGCGGTGCGCGCCGCGCGCCGGGCGCGCCCCTCTGCGAGAGGCGGAGGCGAGCCTCGGGGCGCCGCGTCGTCGGGAGGGCCGCGGCCTCCCCGTGCACCAGCACCGCCGGGGGCCGCGCGCAAGCTCCCTGCCCAGGGCTTTGGGGCGGCGCGTTGAGCAGCATCGCTGATCTCGCCTCCTCCTCCCCGTCCTCGTCCTCCTCCCTCCTCCTACTCGCCCTCCTCAGGAGAAGTCCTTCTCAGAAGGCGGCGGGACTCCTCGGAGGCCCTCGCGCCTGCTGAGGAGTTTCCTCTGTGTCTTCGGGAGGGCTTAGGACACTTTCCAGAACGCCAGGGGACTTCCGAGCCTTTGAGAAGGCCCGCCCCTTCTCACTTTCCCCCCGCGCTCGCCGCCAATGATCCCCAGGCCGATGTCCAGCTTGTCGTGAATGAAACCGGAGAAAAAACCCAATCATAATTTTGCTAGGGCTATAGGGTTGTGGGGCTATAGGGCTCTAGGGCTAAAGGGCTGTAAGGCTATGGGGCTATAGCGCTATATGGCTATAAGCCTGTAAGGCTATAGAACTATTGGGCTATTGGGCTATAAGGCTATAGGGTTATGGGGCTATAGGGCTGTAGGGCTATATGGCTATGGGGCTATAGGGCTACAGGACTATAAGGCTATACGGCTATAGGGCTATAGGATTATAGGGCGATTTGGCTATAAGGCTATAAGGCTTTAGAGCTATAGGGCTATGAATATTTAGTGCCATAGGGCTAGAGGGCTACCCGGCACCCAGGTACCCCCGGGCACCCAGGCACCCGGCCTGGCCACCGAAATCGGCGGCACACCTCACCTGACCATATGAACCCGCTAGGATCCCTACAGAGGCAAGATCTGATTGGGGAATAACGACCAATGAGGTTAGTGTCATCCTGCATGTAGTCGTTTTCTCCAGGTCGATGTCGCTCCTTGGTGGCACGCGTGGCTCGAGTTCGGGTCCCCGGTGTGCTATTCGTCATCTCTGTCGGGGGTCGTCGGACGATGGTCCCGCTGCTGATGAGGTACGCTGGAGGTTGATTAGTAGGTCGACCCCGCCAAATCCAGGGTATCCTTGTGTCCTGTGTTTCGCGGCTCATGCCTTCTACATTCTTGTGGCAATGTGGCCCTCGGAAAGGTCTTGTGCCCTCTTGCGTGTCCGCGTGTCCTCTCCAATCGACACCGACTGTAGCTCGCCAGGGGTTCTCCACAATTTTGGTCTCTCCCTTGTTTTCGTCGGTGCGCCATGGTGGCCCCTTTGCCGGTGTGCCATTTGACGCTGGGCCAGCAGGCGCCCTTCTAGGACACCCGAGCGGGTCTTTCGGGTGTTCCCTCCCCCCCCCTTTGTGAAAGAGAGAGAAAGAGAGAGAGAGAGAGAGAAAACTAAGTGCAAGCGCATGCGCACAAGTGCCGTGGCCTCACAGAGCGTCGCGATACCGCTTCACGGCTACGCGCCAGGCTGCGGCAGAAATGACGCCGTCTTGCCAGAGCCATGGCAGGGCCTCCCCACTCCCCTTGATCAGCGCAAAACCACAGCACGGCCAATGGCGCTGCCAGCGGAGAGTCGATCTCCGCCCCCAGGACCTCAGAAAGACAGGAGGACGGACGAGAAGTTGGTCCCAGGGAGCGGCTCCTAGAGCTTTAGGGGCCTGCGACGCCCCCTCTTCCCGCACGTCGTCGTCGGGTGTCGAAGTCCCTTCCCCTTCATACCTCATTGGGTTTTACGAGCGTGCCAAGACCCTTCCCGAGGATGATGCAGGCCTGCTCCAAAGCAGTGCAAAGTTTGCGGCGGCGACGCTACACCAGCACGCCAGGTTGGTTGACGTGCCCACCAACAGCGACGAGTGCAAGCAGGTGAAGAACATAAACACCGGCCTGCCGATCGTCTACGACCCCAGCTGCCCCGGCCTGTGCTGCTTCGAGAACACGCCGTGCCGGTACTGCAACGAGGGCTGCTATGGCCAGGGCGCGTGCTCAGCCCCGACGCCGTCGCCAGTGCCGACGCCGGCGCCGACGCCTGCGCCGACGTCCTTCGACTGCATGGCGGTCCCGAACATCAGCGCTGGCCTTCCCATCGTGTACGACCCCAGTTGCCCCGGCCTGTGCTGCTTCGAGAACACGCCGTGCCGGTACTGCAACGAGGGCTGCTATGGCCAGGGCGCGTGCTTGGCCCCGACGCCGACACCAGTGCCAACGCCAGCGCCGACGCCAGCGCCGACGTCCTTCGACTGCATGGCGGTCCCGAACATCAACACCGGCCTTCCGATCGTCTACGACCCCAGCTGCCCTGGACTGTGCTGCTTCGAGAACACGCCGTGCCGGTACTGCAACGAGGGCTGCTATGGCCAGGGCGCGTGCTTGGCCCCGACGCCGACGCCAGTGCCGACGCCGGCGCCGACGCTGGCGCCGACGTCCTTCGACTGCATGGCGGTCCCGAACATCAACACTGGCCTTCCGATCGTCTACGACCCCAGCTGCCCTGGTCCGTGCTGCTTCGAGAACACGCCGTGCCGTTACTGCAACGAGGGCTGCTATGGCCTGGGCGCGTGCTTAGCCCCGACGCCGACGCCAGCGCGCCTGGTCCAGGTTGACGTGCCCACCAACAGCGACGAGTGCAAGCAGGTGAAGAACATCAACACGGCTCTGCCGATCGTCTACGACTCCAGCTGCCCCGGCCTGTGCTGCTTCGAGGACACGCCGTGCCGGTACTGCAACGAGGGCTGCTATGGCCAGGGCGCGTGCTCGGCCCCGACGCCGACGCCGACGCCTGTGCCGACGCCGGCGCCGACGCCAGCGCCGACGTCCTTCGACTGCATGGCGGTCCCGAACATCAACACCGGCCTTCCGATCGTCTACGACCCCAGCTGCCCTGGTCCGTGCTGCTTCGAGAGCTCGCCGTGCCGGTACTGCAACGAGGGCTGCTATGGCCTGGGCGCGTGCTTGGCCCCGACGCCGACGCCAGTGCCGACGCCGGCGCCGACGCCAGCGCCGACGTCCTTCGACTGCATGGCGGTCCCGAACATCAACACTGGCCTGCCGATCGTCTACGACCCCAGCTGCCCCGGACTGTGCTGCTTCGAGGACACGCCGTGCCGGTACTGCAACGAGGGCTGCTATGGCCAGGGCGCGTGCTCAGCCCCGACGCCGTCGCCAGTGCCGACGCTGGCGCCGACGCCAGCGCCGACAACTTTCGACTGCATGGCGGTCCCGAACATCAACACTGGCCATCCGATCGTCTACGACCCCAGCTGCCCTGGTCCGTGCTGCTTCGAGAACACGCCGTGCCGGTACTGCAACGAGGGCTGCTATGGCCAGGGCGCGTGCTTAGCCCCGACTCCGACGCCAGCGCGCCTGGTCCAGGTTGACGTGCCCACCAACAGCGACGAGTGCAAGCAGGTGAAGAACATCAACACGGCCCTGCCGATCGTCTACGACTCCAGTTGCCCTGGCCTGTGCTGCTTCGAGGACACGCCGTGCCGGTACTGCAACGAGGGCTGCTATGGCCAGGGCGCGTGCTCGGGCCCGACGCCGACACCTGTGCCGACGCCGGCGCCGACGCCAGCGCCGACGTTCTTCGACTGCATGGCGGTTCCCAACATCAACACCGCCCTGCCAATCGTCTACGACGCCAGCTGCCCCGGCCTGTGCTGCTTCGAGGACACGCCGTGCCGGTACTGCAACGAGGGCTGCTATGGCCAGGGCGCGTGCTCGGGCCCGACGCCGACGCCTGTGCCGACGCTGGCGCCGACGCCAGCGCCGACGTTCTTCGACTGCATGGCGGTTCCGAACATCTACACCGGCCTGCCGATCGTCTACGACGCCAGCTGCCCCGGCCTGTGCTGCTTCGAGGACACGCCGTGCCGGTACTGTAACGAGGGCTGCTATGGCCAGGGCGCGTGCTCGGCCCCGACGCCGACGACTGTGCCGACGCCGGCGCCGACGCCAGCGCCGACGTCCTTCGACTGCATGGCGGTCCCGAACATCAACACCGGCCTGCCGATCGTCTACGACCCCAGCTGCCCCGGTTTGTGCTGCTTCGAGGACACGCCGTGCCGGTACTGCAACGAGGGCTGCTATGGCCAGGGCGCGTGCTCGGCCCCGACGCCGACGACTGTGCCGACTCCGGCGCCGACGCCAGCGCCGACGTCCTTCGACTGCATGGCGGTTCCCAACATCAACACCGGCCTGCCGATCGTCTACGACCCCAGCTGCCCCGGCCTGTGCTGCTTCGAGAACACGCCGTGCCGGTACTGCAACGAGGGCTGCTATGGCCAGGGCGCGTGCCAGCCTGCGGCGTAGGCGAAGAGCGCAGATCCGAAGATTTCAGAACGTGTCATAGGTGGAACGTGTATGATGTCATGGGGAGGGTGATTGGGAGGGTTGAGGCAGAGGGGGAGTGGGTTAAGGACAGAAGGTATGAGGTAGGAGGGAGGGTGGAGGAAGGACGTAGTAGGAAGGAGGGAATGTGGGCGATCAGGAGGAGTAGGATGAGGGAGGAGGAGGACGAAGAGGAGGAGGAGGACGACGGGGAAGAGGAGGAGGCGGAGTAGGAGGAGGAGAGAAATGACGGAGGAGTGAGTGCAGAGGGATGCAGTGAATCGAGAAAGGGTGGGCGGGATGAGGGAGGATGAGTTGCAGCAGCAGGAACAAGAAAGTTGGAGCAGGCTGGAAGCAGGGGGAGGGAGGATTTTCGCGGATTGCACAGCTTTGTGGATGGCTGGTCCCTGAAACCAGGATGGAAGCTGGGTGTGATGATTGCCCTTCCTGAAGTGGTTTTTACTTGGCCTTTCTGCTTCAAACCAGAGTGTGAAGTTCCATGATGTGTGGACGATATTGATTGCGCTGGGATTTTCTTTTAAGGGTTGGGGCGAGACGGAAGACAAAACGGGGGGGCAGTCGGGCAACGGGAGGGGCAGCGATGCAGCGAGGGAAGAGTGGACCAGTTGCGCGAGTGGCGGACGCCGTCAACCAAGGAGCTGGTATTCGACCCCTTTCTCGGGGGTGCGCGCATCCTCTATTAATGTCTCTGATTCGGTATTCCGAGCGTGTAGTCTCGAACGTTGGGTGAAACGGTTGAAACGTTTTCTATGCTGAGGCCACGGGGAACCTTTTTGGGAAAGGTAACCCATAGCCACAAGGCCTGGCGCGCCACGCTATTCATCCCAGCAGGCTACGGGGGCGGGCGGATCGAAGATGCCTGCGGCGAACCGTCGGCCCCTGCCTCTGGAAACGCCTCGGTGGCCAACCGTTGGGCCAACGTCAGTCTTGGAGCAACCCTGGGACACTTGAGACAATTATGGGCCAAAGCTTCCAAGGGGTTTCCCCGAGAGGCACATATCCTTCAAGCCCACTGTTGTTTTTTAGGAAGCAGGTCGCAACAGCCTCGCCCTTCTGGAGCCCGAGCAATTGTTTCTCGGGTGCCTCCTGGGGCGCGCTTGGGCGCTCTTGGGGCCGTCTTGGGCCCCTCTCTTGGCTCTCTTGGGCGATCTTGGAGCCATCTTGAGGCCGCGGAAGCCCATCTGAAGCGAACGGGCGAGAAGGCCGACATCATTTATTTTCCTTGGGTTTTGGACGGATTCGGGGCTCCCGTCCTTGGGAGGTTCCGTGACCACTTAGAGCCATCTTGGAGCAGTTTTGGGGCTTCTCGGAGGCATTTTGGAGACCATTTGGAGCCATCCTGGGATATCTCGACCCACCTTGGAGGTCATCTTGTGCTGGCCGAGGCCATCTTGGAGCCATCTTGGGTGCTTCAACGCCTCGCTGGGCGCCCCGTCCAGACCCAGGGGACGGGGGGAGGTCACATTACCCCGAAGGACGGCCGCGAGCCGTCTCGCTCACTCCCACTGCCCGAGTCACTGCCAGGTGCGCCATGACACGTGACGGCACACATCGGGGAACGCGTCGTCCCTTCACCCTCCTTGCCAAGCGCCCCTGCGAAATGGCGGCGGGGTGGTCGGCATGGTGTATGGTGTGCGCACCCGCAGAGATTTTGCACCGGTTTCTGACAGGGATGACTCGCCCACGCGCGCCAACCAATTTGCGGGCTTCCCCACCACCCCTGTCGACCGAACCTGCACAGAGAACGCGCCCCAACGGCGCAGTGTGCAACATTTTGCAGCACAGATCTCTTTGCATGGTTTTTGATATGGATGGGGGTCCTGCGCACACGCCAGGCCGCATGGTACCCCCAGCGACCCCTGCCACATTGTCCTGGCGAAGGGCCCAACCGTACGCAAGTGTGAGTACCGCGAGGCAGGTGGGACGAAGGTGGGGCCACGAAGCGTGTGAGGGGTGTGTCGAACTGGGCGCGGTGACGCCATGCTGGCGCTGCCATCGGGGCCTTCGCTGGGGCTCCCCGTGGGGTCACGACGCGTGTGAGCGGTGCGTCGAGATGGGCGGGGCGACGCCACGCGGGCGCTGCCGCGGGGACTCTCGGTGAGGCCCCCTGTGGGGTCACGACGCATGTGCGGGCGTGTGTGTCGAAACGGGTGGGGTAACGCCATGCGGGCGCTGCCGCTGGGGCTTTTCAAGCGGGGCCCTTGTGGGGTCACGACATGTGTGCAGGTGTGTGTGTGTGTGTGTGTGTGTGTGTGTGTGCGTGTCAAAATGAATGGGGTAACGCCATGCGGGCGCTGCCGCTGTGGCTTTAGATGGGGCTCCCTTTGGGGTCACGAAGCGTGTGATGGGTGTATCGAAATGGGTGGGGTGACGCCATGCGTGCGCTGCCACTGGGGCTCTCGGTGAAGCTCCCCATGTCGGAAGCTGGATCATATACACCACCAGTGGCTGGCTGTTTTTCAACCCCAGGACTTTCGGAAGGTCGGGGACGACGTCGGGGTGGTATGGTGTATATTTGTTTCTTCCTTTTCTCGGGGAAGCACCGAAACATGTGCACACCAGGATCCCGTATACACCAGGGTCCACTTTCCTGTGCGAGTTTCAGTGCGGGGCCGGAACACGCGTCGGTGTATAGAATTCGGCTCGTTACTTTGGGGGTCACGAAGCGTGTAATGGGGCGTATCGAAGTGTGCGGGGTGACGCCATGCGGGCGCTGCCGCCGGGGCCTTCGGTGGGGCTTCTCGTGGGGCCACGAGGCGCGTGCGGTGCGTGCTGACGCGGGGGCGGGTGCGCCATGCGGGCGCTGCCGCTGAGGCCTTCGGTGCAGCTCCCTGTGGAGCCACGGAGGCCGTTGTAATCGGGGATGGACAGACCCCCCTTTAGTAAAACATGGTTTAGCGAAAACGACCTGAGGCCCAAACCTGGCGGGCGCAAGTCTGGAAAACAACGGCCACGGCGCCCTCTCGAGAACCGAAAACGGACAATTCAGTAATCGATGTGTCACTGTTGGGGGTTCTGTCCACCAACGAAATAAAGTTGTTTCGAATCGCTGGCGGGTGCGCCGTTGAGGGCGCAGCCACGGGCTCCGGTGGCGTCCAATGGGGGCCACGCGGCGCGGACGGGGCGTGCTGGAGCGGAGGCGGGGCCGCCGTGCGGGCGCTGCCCCCCTCTGGGGGCCTGCGGCGGAGCGCCCCAAGGGGGCCTAGTGTGCTGTTCGCTTGCCTGTCTGTGCCTGCGTGCCGAATCGGAGGCGGGTGTCGCAGGCCTAGAGATTGACACCAACACCAATATCGGCGGTGTGCATCCACCGAGGGAGGAAGATCCCGATCTCGGCGATGGTGGTAATATTCTGGCTTCCAAGGTGGCCGAAATATTGCCACCAACACCGAAATCGAGGATCGTCTTCCCCCTGTGGAGGCAACCCCTTGTGTTGGTGTTGGTGCCCATTTCTAGGCCTCCAAGGGTGCGTCATCCGGGCACTGATGCCGGGGCTTTGAGAGTCGTTACGGTCGCTCCTCCCGCTTGTCATTCGCACGAGCACGCCTGCGCGTTTCCTCGCTGGCGAGCGTGAGTTGGGCGCGAATCGCGTCGCGGCAAAACGGAGCGCGCGTCTGTCTATAGCGCGCGCATATCGTAGCCGATCCTTGAAATTACTTTTCGGAATTATGTAGCAACGTGGCATGACTTCGTGCAAATCTCCCCGTCAACAAGATCCTGAGTATGGGAGCCCCTTGGCATGGATACCCATATGCGTGGTGACAATGCTCGTTTGTTGCAGTATGATGATTGACCAGCCGACATAATGACGGATGATCAGCACGGTGACAAACGTAATGAAAAGCGTCACGATAGTATTAACGTCCCGGCACGGAAGCAATATCATGACGACAATTATCAAGGACACTTTCAATTATACCAAATGGAAGGACTTCGGTTCGTGCTTTCCCATTCGGATTGAAGCAACATCTGGACACCGGGGGAAGTTCCAGACTCGCCCCTGCCGTAGGAGTCGGGTTTTTGTAAGACAGTCACCAGGGTTGCCTCGGGAGAAAGAGATTGGATACCTCCTCGACTTGAGAAGGGATCAATCGGTTGACTAGCAGGAAAGCCAGTTTAAGACCTGCCTCGTCTGGCGAGGGATCCCATGCCGCATCTCGGCCGGCGGTCGACGTGCGTGGAGCGCTGGCGCCGACGCCTTTGCTGTCGCGGGGGATGGCTCAGTATATGTCCAGTCTCCTTTCGCTTCGGAAGTGGCCCCTGCGGTTCATTTGACGCAGTTCAGGCCGGCCTGGGCGTAATAGCGCCCGACTTGCCCAGAAGCACCCCTCCAGGGGTGATGCCGAAGAATTAGTCTGTTCCGACGGGTGCTCCAGCGGGGAAGTTTTCACCCATTGGAAACTGCGACGCGTCGAGCAGGGCCCGGGGGGGGGCAGTGAAAACGAGGGGTCGGGAGGGGCGGGAGGGTCCCCGGTGCCCGCTACCGAAGCCTTGGAAGACACTCAGGTGGATCGATGATCGATGTCCCAGGGGTGTGCGTTGGTGCTGGTGGCTCTGCTGCTGGGCCCCCGTTTCTGCCCGCCAGTGCTATCATAATTGAGCCGACATGGCGCGGGGGTGCCCGCCTGTCCCTGAGACCCCCTGGGCCCCGACTCTGAGAACGCAGAGACGCAGCTGAGACGCGGGCGCCCCCTCCGCCCCAAATGAGCTCCCACGAGGGCAGTGCCAGGAGTGATCGACATGGCAGCAGCGCCCAGCGCGGCGAAGGACCGGCAGCAGAAGTCGTCAGCTCGAACCGTGATCTCGTCGGTAAACGCGGTCTCAATGATCGAGCGATGCTGGGTGCCGACGCCATGAGTGCGCGGCGATCGCGGGGAATCGCTGTTCGGGAAATTCAGGCCGTCGTCCGAAACCCGTCTGTTATGCGTATTCGCAGCTCTGTCAGCAGCGCAGTTGTCTGGGCC